TCTCTCTTTGCCTCTCCCGCTTTGCCATGGAGTCCTTTCTGCCTCACAGTGACCCTATAGGAGAGGGCAGAACTGCCCCTGTGGGTTTCCAAGACTGTAACTCTTTGTGGGAGTAGAAAGCCTCATCTTTCTCTCGCTTGTTCTCACACAGCTCCTATTATATGGCTTAGTCAAACTCTTCAGCGCAAGGCCACTAAGCCAAGTTGGAAATAAAGGAAGGGGAATTGGGAGGGCCACTCATTGCTGCCACCCCCACCTCTGAAAAACTGTAATTGCCACCTCCATTCCTCAAAAAAGTGCCCAGTTGCTCTGCAGGGCAGAGGTGCATCCTTGCAGTAAGAACCAGGTGTACTTTGGGTTTAAGAAGCGAACAAAATGGAGGGCAGAGGAGTAGCTAGATTGGACTGGGTGAACCAACATGTGCCTACCCTAGAGAGATACTCCCAGGGTCTATTTTTCAGGGTAGAGAACTGTCTCATCAAACTCTCCTTCCAACGTAGGATTGCCTGATGTTCTGACATGGAGTAGACCACTGCATCATTTTACCAAAAATAAAGTGACAATTTAATGAATGAAGCACATTAAACTCTCTGAGTTGCCTGAGCATCCATCAGACCTGGAAGTGGGGGACTGGAGATGGCAATTCACCAGTTAAATGCCAGTTCACATCTAGAGCTAGCTGCACCCCTAGACCTTTGAACTCTTCCACTGACTTTTCTGGTAGGAATGGGGAGGGACAAGGTTCTCACAGAAGGGTGGATGAGAACCTGCACTTTTGATGAGATTCAAAGTCCCCACACCTTGTTGGAAAAATTATTTTTTCTTAGTGAATAAGGTTGGAGGCTCAACAAGGCTTCTCAGATCTAACAAAATGCAAGACCCCCTTCACACCAGTGGAGGAACCTGATGATCCGGTCCTGCCAGTTCCTCGTACAGAAACTGCAGAAGTGGCTGGGTGAAGAGAAGGTAGGGCTTGCCAATTATCAGAAACCACAGGCAGCGAAAGCAAAGGGGTTTTCACTGTGAGAGCAGATATGGGGAAAGCATTGGGAAATACAGCATTTGACTTCTTCAAAGGTTTGCAGTTCAGCTAGTGGGGGTGGAATGCACTGGCAAATCAGCAAATGAGCCTAAGATGTATCTGGGTGTCTGGGGAAACACCACTCCCTGACAATAAGGAGAGGAAGCCCATTAGTGAGTCAATAACTTTTGAATAAAAATCACATCCTCAGTGTCCAGGAAAAGACAAATGGGGAACTTTGAAAGTGTACCTTCCACTGGATAAACATTCATCTGGGAAGCTGAGTTTTGAAGTGGTGAAGGGGATCAGGCATGCAGAACTCCACAGAGAAGTTAGGCAACTGCCACTCGGGTAAGGTCTCCGTTAATCTGCATCTACCCAGTTCAGGGATCCAAGAGTGGCACTCTATCTGGGTAAGTTTTCCTTCTTCCTGTGCATTCTCAAACATTGAGAACTCATAAGCAAGGTTCTTGGCAATACTGAATGCCAATTCACCCTACCCAAGCCCCTCTCTGTTCTACTTCACCCTCATCTCCCCAGACAGGCGTGTGAATGTCAGCAAAATATGAAATGGTCTACGTGAATAGCAGCCACCAAGCATGACAAACCACGCCCCTCGCCCACAGCCCCAGAGAAGAATTAAAAGGATATGTGGTGACAAAGCGCCAAACCCCACTGCTCTGAATGAAGAATGAACCTTTCAGACAAGTATTCAGTTCTATAATTTTGTTCTCTCTTCTGACTACGCAGAGGAAATGCTTCTCCTGACAAAGAGTGACAGGAGGAGACCATGAGAGAGACAATCAGGACATCTGAGGGCACACAGACTTTGGGCTGTCAATTAGATATTGGTGGAAAGGCCTGCTCACACTCTATTACGCACGTGGCAGTGCCCACGGGACCGCTACCCTTGGGAACTTCAGGAAGAGCTGATGTCAACATTGGGGAAAGTCAACGAGCCCTGGAGAGCCAAGTCAGCACCAGTCACCTGGCTTATTTCTGGGCTCCAGCCACAGGGAGCTACCTGGCTCCCGGGGCCCTGTAGGGATATTTGCTCACCATCTTTCAATATTATTAATTCAATGGAATCATATTTTTAAAATATACTAAAGGAGCAAGATGTTAGTCCTCCTAACAGTAAATCCTGAAGAAAGCTAACGTGGGGATATGCAGGGACTGTCGAGGGGTTTCATGGCTTTTCCTTGTTTCTAATTCTTTATGGATGACAGGTGAAAGTTGATCTTCGGACTCCTTATTCGGTCAGGTCGCATGCACTCAGATGTGGCTGCACTCAGGCGTGCCTTCCTTTCAGAGCCCTCCTGTCCAACACTACAGAGTCCGCTGACCTAAAGAGAACCAAGAAATGACTCAGTCCACCCCCACCAGGGCAGGTATCATTTACAACAGGAGCCATCTGGTCTTCTGGGCATTTCTGGTGTCTGGTAAAGAAACCAAAAACCCGCTGCTGTGGAGTTGAGGTCAACTCACAGGGACTCTGTAGGGCAGGGCAGAACTGCGCCTCTGAGTTTTCGTGCCTGTAACTCTTTAAGGGAGTAGGAAGCCCCAACTTTCTGCCGTGGAATGCCAAGTGGTTTTGAACTACTGACGTAGCAGCTCAACATGTATGTCATCACTGTGCCAGCAGGGTTCCTTGTCAGCTAAGGAAACAAGATTCTTTTATCTATAGAAGACGGAAACCTGGTGGTCCAAGAGTTAAGAACTCAGCTGCCATGCAAAGGGCTGGCAGTTCAAACCCAGCCAGTGGTTCCCTGAGAGAAAGGTCTGAAGATCAGGTTCGGTGAAGACTACAGCCAAGAAACCTCTTGTGTGCAAGTGCCACTCTGTCCTGTGGGGCAACCATGAGTTGGAGCCCCTTGCATGGCACCCAACAACCATCTATGGAGACCAGGACGCCAAAGGTTAACCCTCTCTCTCCTGTAAGGGCAGCAAATCTCCACCACATGGTTGATGTCACTTGAAATCAGAGGACCCCTTCCTACCCGATTACTGAATCATTTCCCACTAAGTCCCTATTCTGACTGAGGGCTCCCTCTAGAGCAGCATTTCTCCTCAGGACGGGGCCTGCTGGTGATGGCATTATAGGAGATTTCGGGTCATGAGTATTAGTGACCAACATTTTAGAAGCCAGCCTCGGGACTTAGGGAGAAATTCTTCTCTGGGCTTCTAGAAGAGGAACAATATGGAAGAAGGTACATGAGATGTTAGTTAAGGGAAAAGAAAATATTTCCTACCCATTAAAGTAAAAATCAAGCATTGAATCTGGCGCCAGATGTAGTGAAGTATAAGAAAAGCCAAGAGTGCTAGGCAGATTGCTAACTCCTGTGAGAAGACAAGAAGAAAGCTTCACTGGTATCATCGCACACACAAATTGTTTTCAGCATCATTTAGATGGACTTTCATTTTGGTTCAAAACAACTATGACATGTTCTTCTCAGGATATATTATATGGCTGTTTTCAGAAAACAACGCCTCCTCACTCAATTAACAGTCAATATATAAGAATTCCAGTAAACGCGCTAGAAATGCTCCAGGTGTTTACGTTAAAGGCTCTCACGTGGTTCCCTCCCTTTGGAGATGGAACGTGGTGACGGCTGGACAGCACGGTCATTAACGTCACCGGATGATATACTTACAACTTGCTCAATGGCAAGTTCTTGTTAGATACATTTCACCACAACAAGCGCTTTGAAAGCTTGCCTCATGCCAAAGGTATCTTTTTCACCCGTCAGATTTTCAACCACATGCATGCTGTTTTCATTTTCCAAGCATCGTTTCCTTTTGTGATCTCATTCAACTGGGGTTCACATAAGATACAGTTATTAAGTGATTCTCTGACTTATGGCGGGGGGCGAGGGAGGGGAGGGTGTTTGTTGCTTGTCATCACCTGATGACCAAGGAACATGGACCTACAGAGCATCCCTTTTCTAGGCAACGCTTACCTTAACCACACACATCAAGGAAGAATATTCATGGGGGTGGGGTCACCATGAGCATTCTTCCTTCGGAAGAACTCAGAAATCATTTTTTCCCCTATGGTGTTTTGGAGCCATGCAGACATTTAAGCCCAGGTTAGGGAAAAGATATAGACTTCCGACATCCATTAGAAAAAGGTAACAACATCAACAACGACAACCACTTATCCAATATCTCGTTAATGTAGGGCAGGAGATGCTTTTCTGCTTCCCAGGAAGCACTGTGTTGTAAGGCCAAGACTGTCTTTGTCGAGCTCTGGCCAACATCCTCCCAGATTTCATGAATCAGAGGCTCCTCTCCAGAGCAAATGTAAAACTCAATGCACACATGCTCCTTAGAGGTTGCCGGGAACTACACAAAAGCGGGTGGTTAGTGTTTGCAGAGAAGGCTGAGCCAGGGCGTGCAGCCATTCCAGAAGGGGACCAGGGTATCCACGAGTCACCACAGACAAAGCAGCTGGCCACCCCTCCCCTGGGGAGCCGGGTGCGAGGTCACATGGGCAGTGTCATCAAATCTGCCGTTTTGTCTCCCTCTCATAGAACGATTTAAAAGCGTGTCAACAGCAGGGTGTGTTGTGCCTTCATTTCTCCCGAGGCAGAGATGCTCTCTGTCCCTCCAAACACCCTACTTTCTTGCTGTGGCTTATTCCCCGGGACCCTCTCGGCAGCACAGGGAAGCGAGAGACAGAAGAGCATCAACACTAACCTGAGAAGTAGCTGCAGGTGAACTAGTTTCCTTACCACTCTCTGCTGCCCTCTCATTGGCTGCGGCTTCTGCCACTTCTGCCTTCTGCTCATGGGAATCCTCCGAACCTGGAGGCCCTACTTGTCCCAGACCTTCGCTCCCTGCGGTGGAAGGTGGGTTGGCAGCTTTCCAGGTTTGGCCTTTATACCAACTAGGGTAAAACAGGGGATCCGTAGCTTCCGATGCGTCAAGGGCTGGAGTTTCAGACTCTGTGGTCTGCTGAGAGCCACTGGGCACCACCTCCCCCTTAATCAGGGCAGGTAAATTCAAAAATAAAAAAGAAGAAGAAGAAGAAAAGAGCAGTCGATTTCAGTTCTCTTCGGTTTGAAGACTAAGTTCTTTGAGTGTAGTTCCTGATTGCTTGCTTTAGCTCACCCCACCCTTCTGGGTGCTGGGCCAGGAACGCTAAGGGCAGTGACAGTGCCCCTTTGTCCTGAAGTATGAATGTGCCCCTTCTTCTTTCCTGTGCTTCTCTTTCACTCAGCAGTGCCCAGGACAAGGAGAAACAGGAGTGAACATTGCTTATAAAATATTGGATCAAATGATTGACTAGCATTCATTTGACCGTGGTATATGTGGGCCACCAAACCTCTTTTCTGAAACCAAAAAATGTATTTGACTGATCAAGTCCAACCCTTATTTAGTTACTCAATCACACCACTTTGTCAGTGCAATTAGTAAACCCATAATTTCATGATCCTTGGGACTATAAATAGTATGTTAGCCTGGTTTCCGATGGAGATAGAGCATAGAATATCATTCTATCCCTAAATCTCCTCTCAGAGGTTTTGTTTCTGAGGATAATTTTAATCCACTTGAAAGCAGGTGCAAAACTAGGGCTCCTTACTGATGAGCAGACGTTGCGACAAATGCAGTGGGTTGGGATCCCAGCTGCTAATAAGGGCCGTGGAGTCGGGACACAGGTTTTTTGACAGGACAGTGATCTCTGAAACACACCATCAGCCAATCAGGTGCCGCATATGTGATGAGCTAGTTTCATAAGAAAACTTTCACACCATCTATTAGCACGTGATCACATCTAACGGCAAATCCATAGGAAACCAGGGCTGGTTGGTTGGTCATTCAAGGGGAAGATAAAATTGTATTTCAGAGTAAGCCGCAGGGCTGCAAAGTCATCTGATTTCTCTTTTTACTTGTATTGCTTACAGAAAAATCAAAGTTCTGAAAGTGTAGCATGTTTTCATTGTTCATTCTAGATTGCCCTCCGGCCTATACCCCTATCTGTATTCACCGAGCACCAAAGAGTAGAGCCACCCCTCCTGATACTGTCTATGAATTCATGCTTTACACGCACAGACACACGCTCTAGACAGAGATGGCCCCAGACATGCGAGTCTTTTTAGTGGAAAGATTTTGAAACTAAAGATGGCCAACCGGCTATTCCAACAATGACCTTTGAGTCACTTGGAAGACTTTTCTTTCTCACACAGTGACTGTCCTGTAATCTTTGGTCTTCCAAATAGAAATGTCTGTGAGGTCGTTTTCTTGTTCGTGTGTTAGAATAGATTATTTAGGCCGTTCAGCAATGAGGTCACCTGTGTGCCTGTGGGAAGGGCGTCTGAATGAGTTACCTGGGTTCCCAGGGGCTCAGCAGCAGCCGGCAGGGCTGCAGTTGGCTCCACAGAGAAAACAGGAAGTGGCCCTGGCACCTCCTGGAACGCAGAGGCCAGCGGACAGGGGGTAGAGGCTTTCTCTGGACTCTCATCTTCTCCGGAAGCCTCTGTTCGAACTCCCGACTCTGTTTCTACCTCTTCCACTTCTACTACGTCTTCTCCTCCTCCTTCTAGCTCCCCATCTCCTTCTTCCTCTTCATCTTCTTCTTCTGGTCAGGCAAGGAAAGCGATGTATAATCGTTATAATTACCACCACATGGAAGCAATTCATGACCAGCATGGCAGACGAGGCTAAAGTCAAGTGACAATGGCCCTGTAAACCAGACTGGGATTAGTGGCTCCAGTCCAATATGGATAGGACAAAGGTGAAGAGGATTCCAATCATCACCATTATCCTTGGCCCCCAACCCACCTCCTAAGGCAAAATATGGTTCTCCAACCATCCCAGAGCCTGTCTACATAGTCTACACTACAACCTATAAAAGCTACATTTTCTTTCTTTGTTTTTTAGTGATAAGAATATTTTATTGTATTATTAAATATCATGTCACCCCCACTGTTACAAATTTGTAGATACTACACGAATGATGATACATGAAATATATTTTACAGTTTGCTCGTGTGATATATTTACACATGCAGTGAGTAATGATGTCGTGCTACATTTCCTTAGGAGATGCCCATTCCAAACAAAATGTGAGCAGCCTATGACCAGTGTATCTAACATAGGAAAATACTTCAGGAGGGAAGCTACATTTAATGGACTAGGATTAACATCTACTTGCCGCTGATGAATTAAACTGAAATGCAACTCTTGTCTCTCAGAAAATATACAAGACCCTCACTCACCTTGCTTTAATTTTTTTTACCTACTTTGTTCATGTTGTGAATACTAACTTTTCCCCCACACCTCTCCCCCACCAAAATTAATGCCAGGACTCTTTTTCTAATCCAATGATCTTAACTTCTGACAATATTAAGGCTTAAAAAAAATTCTTCCCAAAGACTTGCTTCTAAATTTAAGTCTATGGACTCAGAGTATTCTTGGTGGCTTAGCCCAGAGGCCTGGTCATCTAGATTCTAGGGGTCAGCAAACTTCTCAGACATATGAGCCAATCCTGTCCCTCACAACAACTTAAAAATTATTCCAGCCATATACGTATTTTTAACAAACAAATGAAATCACAATTGTCTGAATGGCATCCCTAACATCTTTCCAATTTTACTGCAAAGCCACATGCATGTGCAGAAAGAGCCGTCCCTGGCTCACGAGCTGTAGTTGGCAGACCCACGATCTAAACGGCCCAAGATGAGTCCAGATAGACAAAGTTTTGGCCAACTTCAAACTTGTTGGCCTCTTTTCAGTGAGTGGGGACTCTGGGCAGAGTGTAGGGCTGTGTAGAAGGCTCATGAAGTGCATCTGGGTACTTAAACTTAGCTTGATTTCCAGGTTGGGACTGCTATTCTTGTCCCTCTGGAGTTTTTGATTAAGGGGTACCTAGCCCAGATGTCGTCTATGGTTTATTTTTATCTCATCCTTAATCTTGCACCTGATGGTATCTCATCATCCTGCCTTTGTGTATGGTTGAGGCTGAGATATCATCACCACCATCAATTATTAAGTATTTAACTACCCAGAGTCAAATGACCCCACATGGCATTATAATAGGCACTGTGATAGGCAACGCTTAATAAACCCTGTCAGCAAGCTCTATGGTTGCATAATGAGATAAGGCTTCACTTTGGATTGGAGTCCTTGGAAAGATGTCAACATTCATTCTGGAGGTGAATCTGAGACCCCCTCTTCCTCCCACGGAACCCTGCTGCTGGCACACACCTGCAATTTTGGCCAAATGGTCAAAAGAATCACAAACCTCTGTAAAAATCAATTTCTCGTATAATTTTTTCTTCTCTATTGAGGTTGACTGTGAAGTGGTGCATATTTTCATAACCATGTTCTATTTTCTCCATCTGAAATGCCTTCGATGCTTCGGAAATTCTGCAACAGAGACAAGTTGCTACTTGCCGTCACTGTTGGATGCCTGATAGCCTTGGGTGAAAATGAAAAACATACACTTTTCCCACAACATAAAGGTTACTTACTTTTTTAACAGGATTTTCGCATTCTGTGAAAGCAAACAAAAGATAGGCTGACTTAAATTCTTTGTATCAAAGATGGTGTTGAGACTTAATGTTTCCTTTGATGGCTCCTAGAATCTCATAGCTTAGCTTCTAAGTACCACAAATAATTGCTGTTTTATAGCACCCTCATATCTAAGTAATGTTATGGTCTTTTAAATATATGTTGATTATAGTATTTTAAACAGTGGCCTTCTACTTCGTCTTGCACAGGACCTCGAAACGAGATAGATTTAGAATCATGAAAGTACCCTGTAAGGTGATGCTGTTGCATCCACTTGTGATGACGATGAAGCTTCCAATACTCACCTTCTTACTTTGTTTCCTCCGGTGCCCCAAAGAGACCTACCTGCAGAAACACTGCCATTTCTGGTTCATCCATGACCTGGATTCCAGACTCAACCAACTTGGACACGTTCTCCAAATGATCAGAATACTTTTTGATCAGAGCTCGGACATGTTCCAACTTCTCCTCTTGCGTCCGGGTGATGACTCGACTCATGTCATTCTTCCTCTCCTCCAGGATGCCATAGAGGTAATCAAACTTCTCACACAGCTCCTGCTTCTGATTTCTGCAGCATTCCTGTGATTTGAGTTAGCAAATGTCACAAAGTTTGGGAGAACGATTGGGAGATGAGATCTTTGACTTATCTAGGATTTTTTTTGTTCTTTTCCGGTAAGCTACCTCTTTAGGTCTAGATACCACTGTCTTGATCCTTTAAAAAATTATTTGGGGGAAGGGGAGGGAGTCAAACTGGTGAAATAAATACATTATTTTCAGTCTTCTATCCTTTATAAATGGAGACTTTCATACAAATTAGGAAAGACTTGGTTAATTTTTATGTTGGAGAGAGAGAGAGGGAGAGAGAATGTGTGTGTGTGTGTTGTGAGGGGAGTATTGTGAAAGGGAAAAAAAATGCTACTTCTTAATTCGTACTCTCAAGTCTCTCTGCTCCACCTGCACCACTATTGCCAGTTCAGTGCCCTCCCGTAGATTTGATCATTTTTCAGTGACTTCTACTTCTAGGACCCCCCTCCCTGCTCAAAGCCAACTCACACACTGAAGCCAGACTCCTCTCCCTGGAGTCCGTTCTAATCGTGTTTTTCCTCTGGTTTTATAAATGATTTTTTACTATTTAATTATAATAAAATCACTATCATTCTAAAAAGCCCTTTCTGGTGCAGTGGATTAAGTTTCAGGCTGCTAACCCAAACCCAACCGTTGGCGGTTCAAACCCACCAGCCTCTCTGCAGGAGAAAGGTGAGGCTATCTGTTCTTGTAACAATTCACAGTCTCAGAAACCGTGCCGAGCAGCTCCACTCCATCCTATGGGGTCACTCTGTGTTGGAATCAGCTTGATGGTGGTGGAGTTCAGGGTTTTTTAAAAATTTTATTTGAGTGATGCAAATAGTTGGTTTGCTGGGAGCCAAAGATTGGCAATTCACGTCTAACCTCCAGGCACCTTGGAATAAATTGTTGGTGATTCATGACTGAAAAATCAACCACAGAAAGTATATGAAGGATAGCTCTACTCTGACACACACAAGGTTGTCATGAGTTGGGATTGACTTTACAACAACCTATTTTATCATTTGTTTATACAACTTAGGAAATGCTTCCCAAGGAATGATGCTTTATTATTGTTACTACTGTTTTATAGAGCTGCGTACTTGGTAAACATTACTTATAATATTCCTTGGCACCCACCAGTACCAGCTGCCATCCAACTGATTCCAAGTCATGGCAACTTCGTGTGCATCAGAGTAGAACTGTGCCCCATAGAGTTTTCTTTTAAAAGACGTTTTATTGTGGTTCAGGGGGAAACTTACAAAGCAAGCTAATGTTCCATTCTTCAATGTATATACACATCATTCTATGACATTAGCTGCAATCACCATAATGTGTCCATGTTCTACCCATCCCACCTTGGGGTCTGTTTCTGTCAGACCACTCTCCCTGACCTTGACTGCCTGCCTCACTTTGCTTCTGGTTGCACATGATTTTCAGAAGCAGAGCAGCAAAACTTCTTGAGAGGCACCTCTAGGTGGATTCCAGTGTCTACTCCGCACCCCAGAGGGCCTCCCACCGCATTACCCAAACCTCCCTGCCTTCCAGTCGATTCTGACCCATGGTGACCAGGGCTTATGGCATTTTGGTTCAAATTTCCATAGTTTAATCAGTTGTAGAATTGTAAATCTGAGTAGGATTTTAGAAGTAAACTTTTCCAAAACTATCATTTCACTCTTGGGGACACTGAAATCAGCAGAGTTAAGTCACTCTTTTAGGGCCATCCTGCCCGTTAGTATTGCTGCCTAGCCCAGAGCCGAGCTCTTTTAACCCAAGGTCCTTCACTGCTGTTTCCATCATTCTACATGTGCTCATAGATTTACACACACACACACACACACACACACACACACAAATTAAAAAAACAACTGAATACATGCTTTTAAGGTAAAAAAATCTCAAATGGTGAGATAGTTAAGGTTTATTGTGCCAACCTGTCTGATAAACACATGTGGGATTTATTGAAGGGCAGAGAGATCAATGGCTCAGTGAGCCTCGCCCTTCTGGTTCTTTGGTCTCTTGTTCTCTGATGGTCAGACCAGTGTGTGGCTGCCTTAGCTGGCAAGGCTCACTTCCTGAGAGACATCCCTGAGGAGAAGCCACATGGACTTACCCTGATGCAGCCCTGGGTGCTGGAGAAGCCGCATGGAGACCCTGCCAGCGCTGAGATGCTTACACCGCCACTGGATCCAAAGACTTTCTACCCACTGGCCTGTGATCCTCCTGCATTCGGCGTCCTTGTGTGTGTTTTGTGAGTTTGAGGAAGACTTTGTAGCATATGGGCTAAGTCGGACTTATAGACTTGGACTGGACTGGGTTGGGATGCTTTCTGAATGTACACTTACCCCTGTATATAAAACTCTCTTATACATACTGTATATGAGTTCCTGTGGATTTGTTTCCCTAGTCTACCCAGACTAACACAAATGGCTTCAGAAGTATAGTCATTTTTCCATCTTGTCAATAAAATCCACTAAGTGCTTACTATGAGAAAGGCATTGTAAGGCTTAAGTACATTGCTCTAATGTTCCAGTGTTCAAGTGACTGGTGAAAATTATACTTACTAACAAGGGAAAAAGTGCTTTTTCTTCTCTGCTTACTGTGCCTTCGCTATAATTCTATGTAAAATATTGGTAATGTTAGACAAATAGTGTTCTGATCTAGGAACAAGGCATGCTTCTATTCTGGAATTATGAAGTTGGTACTTATAAACCTTTAGAAATTAACACAAGATATCCAGTGTTGTCTGAAATATGACGTGAGACTGCAGTTCTGTTGGCTCACGCTCTCTGAAGTAGCAGCATCGCCAAGCGGGGCTGGCTTGGACGTCCTGTGGTCTCCCTCAGCTATAAGCCCTTCAAAGTTTGAGACAGGCAGTGAGCCACTAACACCTCTGCTTGGCAAGTCTCTCTGCAAACCACGGAGATAACAGGTGGAAAAGGAAAAGGGCTCTCCGAGGTTACCAAACGATTACCTGAATTATATCTACTGAAATCTGTGAACCTCCCTTGGTGAACCTGCGACACTTTCATTACTGACTCCCTAACAAGCTGGAAAATGGAATGGGGAAAAACACGGGTTGACATCATCAAAGGCCTGTGGATACCATATGGCAAAAGCAAGATGGCTAACAAACTTCTCTCTCGCCACAAAAACTTCCTCACTTCAAAGGTTTCTTTTTGCTTTTAACACACCTTTTCTCCCATTTAGTTGTATGTATCTTTAAGCCCAATTCGGGCTTACATGTGTGTATCACACACACACAAACACCTTCTGTAGGTAGAAATTGAATCAAGATTTATCCTTTGGGGGCTTTCTAATCTTTTCAAATGTCCTCTGTTTTCTCCTTTTCAAGGTCTGTGCTTCCTGGGTATATATGTGTGTATGTTTAACAAGGAAGTACCCTCTATCATAAATGAACCAGGTTTGACACCCAAGCATATTATGATGGAAGTTCTGTGATTGCAACAAGACCTTCCTAGACTTCCAAGGCCTGCCAGGACAGTTATATTTATTGGTATCTTGGGAGAACTAAATGAAACTGGTATACAATAACGAATGAAAACAGAATCCTTCCCATAGCTACAGAGAACCAGGGAAAACCAACAGGGTGGATGCAAAATACATAAAAGTTTGATTTCATAGAGGGCAGAATATAATGCCCATTTTGAAATGGTAAGATGCAGATCACTTATTTTTATGCAATACCAACAGATATAGATGAAAAGAGGAAAACTATAGACAGGCTGAACTTGTCAGACTCCAGTTTTTAGCCACTTCTATATTTTAGTGGCAATAAGATAAAGCAGTGTCTGTTATTGCAAAAACAGAGTAGCTGTCCTGCCAACAATGTCCATGGACCTTGTCTATTGTGACATTGACTCTGGCTCCCTTGTCTCCCGGGGTTTTACTACTCTCTGAAATGCTGCTGCTATCCCTCTGTAGATTGTCCGACTCGTTCACTAAAATCAGAGCTTTCTGACAGCAGGGCCCTTTCTGTTCAGTTCACCACTATTTCCAAGCTTGATTGATTGAATTAATAAAATATTACTAGACTCTAGAAATAGGGGGGAGCGGGGACGGGAGGGGAAAATGAGGAGCTGATGCCAGGGGCTTAAGTGGAGAGCAAATGTTTCGAGAATGATGAGGGCAATGAGTGTACAAATGTGCTTTACACAATTCATGTATATATGAATTGTGATAAGAGTTGTATGAGCCCCTAATAAAATGATTTAAGAAAAAAAGAATCTAGAAATAATTAGCCCTACACTCAAAAGTTGCTATTTTGTTTTCATCCAAAGAAATAAATATTTAAGAGGTTATCCCCTGGCTCTGCTTCAAGCAGTGCCCAAGGAGTTAGTAAAGATTAGATATCGCTACAACCTTAAGGAAGGTAATTTAACCTCAGGGCATTTTTTTAAAACAAAAGGGGGTCTAGATTAGATTGGTGACTGGGAAGGTCGTTCTAGGAGTCCCTGGGTGGGGCAAAGGTTAACCTGCCTAGCTGCTAACTGAAAGGCCACAGGTTCAGGTCCACCCAGAGACACCTCAGAAGAAAGGCCTGGTGATCTGCTA